TGGCCGCGTCGTCACCATGTCACCGGACGCGGTCGGGTGAAATATGGGGAGAGAGAGAGAGAGAGAGAGAGAGAGAGAGAGAGAGAGAGAGAGAGAGCGACGGAATGCGCCGATTGATCCACTGTAAATACTGAAGTTTAATGAATCAGGCGCGAATGAGTGGCTTCATTGAAGAAGAGAAACGCACAGTGGGCGAGAATACCGGTGGAAGGCGGTCAAGATTCTACACGCGTTTTGAGCTGTAGAGTCACTTAATTGAACTAGAACCGACCATCGTGACCACCGATGAATCCATTGGTGGGGCCACACGTTCGTTGCGAGTTCTGAATAGCGAGCCGCCTCCATCAGTCCTCTGGCCCACTGTGGGACGGTTGCAGCATTTTCTCATCTTTCCCTAGCGGTGATTTTTTTTGGGGGGGTGTCCAGGTTTTGTCACCACCAATGGAAAGGCGGTGCGCTTTATTGCCGTTCTTCCAAGACACGTCGTATCGCTTCGGCGAGCCTTGCCCGGTTTTGGCGCCTTTTTGCACAGGCCCACAGAGTAGACACAACCTGCCGTATTTTTTTGCACCACCCTGTTCGTTTGCTTGGTGTTAGCGGGTGTGTAATTATTGGCTGGCTCCACATTTTTATCGCCAATACAGGCGGTACAGATTTTTACAACGCCACGCTCGACACCACGTTTCCCACCAGCTCTACGTAAGTGGGGCCTCTAAGCGATACATATTAAAACTCTTGCGGACTTTTTAGTGCATAATTATGCATTTTTAAGCAAAGTTAAGAATAAAAAAGTCCACTAGAGTTTAGTGTCTATCCCCGTGAGAATCGACATCTCCACCGCTCATCGTAGAAGAGAATGTGTGGTGCATGAACAGAACAGCACCATTTCAAAACGAAGCCTTCTTCTCACGTAGCAGTCGTTCGTACGTGGCTTAGCTCAACACCAGCCTCTTTTTAACCCTCTACCTCCCCTCCCGCCCCTGTGGCGCACGCCCCCCCCCCCCCCCCCCCGCCCCGCCCCGCCACGCCCCGCCACGCCACGCCACGCCCCGCCCCGCCACGCCACGCCCCGCCCCGCCACGCCCCGCCCCGCCCCGCCACGCCCCGCCACGCCCCGCCACGCCGCGCCGTCCAGTCCGGCTGCGGAGCGAGCGTGACCACAGCATCTGCGGCCGCGGCCCGGCGGCCGGTCGGACGGTCTTGGTGTTTCACGGTCCGTTTGCCCCTTTCTTTTGCCGTTGACTCAACAAGCTGGTGACGGAAAGTTTGGCGACGTGCCGCCCCGCAGTGGGCCAGAAGACTGGTGGAGGCGGTCACAACCCCGGACGCGTTTTGGGCTCCAGAGTCGCTAAATTGGACTTGAACCGGACGTGTGACCTCACCAATGAATTGCTCTCCGAACGAGGAATCCATTGGTGGGGTCACACGTTCGGTTCGAGTCCTGTTTAGCGACTCTGGAGCTCAAAACGCGCCTTGAGTTTTGGCCGCCTCCACCGGCCTTCTGGCTAGTGTTTGGGATCGGGCGGGCTAGTGACAGAAACGCTTGCCCGGGTGCCTTCGCCAGCTAGCCCGGCCCGGCCCGACCCGGGGTCGGGCCGCCTAGCCCGGCCTTGCCCGGCTCACCCGAACAGCGTCGCCGTCCAGTCGACGCGTCGCGCTCGTCAGTGGCTAGAGCCAAGGGAGCCAAGTGAGTCAGGCCGGTGCCGGCCGGAGCCGACACCTGTCTCTCTCACTCCTTTACCTGCATATGGGAGTAAGAGAGAGAGTTGCCGGCCAGCCGCAGTCGGCTCGCCTGTCGGTGTGCTCGAGCAACGGCCGGAGGCGGCTGGCTGGGCGGCGTCGCAACGCGCGTCACCCGCAGTGGTTTGGCGTGGCCCAGCTGTCTCCGAGACTCACGGGCTGCATCCGCACAGTCCCGGGCAAGCCGCAAATTCTTAGCCCGCCCGATCCCAAACTCTACTTCTGGCCCGTGCGTGTGGGACGGGGTGGGGGTTCAGAGGCCGTGTGTCGTCCGCCAAGTTTGTATCTGATTAGACAAGTTGATGCCCCGCCGAGCCTGAGTCTCGTCCATCGCGAGTTTGTATCTGATTAGGCAAGTTGACGCACTGCCACTGCCGACGACTGCGGGCCCCTGCACGCTCCGACAGGGACCGCAAAGCTTGTCGGCCACACCAGTTCGTCGCTCTGTCTCTCTCGCACTCATGAGGCGTCCCCCGCAGGCCTAGCCGGTCGGGGGCAAGCGTAAGGCCATGCTTGTGGATCCACAGGGTCGCCATAGCCTCGTCAACAAGGTGGGCTGCTGTAGCTGCTTACTCGAATGCTAGCACGGTAAAAACGGTACCTGGTTTTCCCAGGAAGCCTATGGTAGAAACATAGGTGATTTCCAGGAAGTTCCTGGGAAAACCAGGAACCGTTTTTACCGTGAGAGGTCTGCTGAGGCATAACAGCGCTGATGATGATGATGTGTAGCCGTGGGGGCCAACGCTGTAAATGTCTTACGGTGAAAGGCTGCACCAAACATATTACAGTGGAGATTTTCTCCACAAAACCAACGAAATTCGTCAAAATACCTGTAAGGCACAGTGAATTCTCAATGGTATGTTACTAAGTCAGCTGCACCACCATAATATGGAGAATCTTCACTGTACAACATTTAAAGTGCACGACACTGCAAGAAAAAGTGCGAATAGTACAACAAAAGTACAACAAAAACTGCACATTAAAAGTACAACAGGGATTGTACAAAGTACGACGAGAATTGTACAAACCACAACGAGGCCTGGACTGCACAGCACTCGTCATGCCGATTCCATTGTACTTTGCACAACGATTGTTGTACTTTGAAAATACAATAAAGTCCTGATAAAATATTTGCCAGTAATTTGTGAACTTTTGTTGTGGTGTTTTCTTGCAGCGGAGAGGGTTAGGGATTCACCCACGTACAGCCTCTCTGTGGAGTCAGCCTTGCCGTACCGGAGCAAGCGCGCTCTGCTGCCCAGTGCACAGGACCATGGTCTGATTCCGAATGATTCGTCGCGCTGTCTCTCTCGCACACCTACACGGCCTACGGGGCCCCCGTGGCCTCCACGTGCGGGGCCACGAGTGCAAGAGAGACGCAGTGCAACACAGTGTCGCGGTGGTGTTCGGAGTCAGCCTGCAGACAGAACCTGCCTCGAGAACCGACAATGTTGCTAGCTTCCATGTCCGCCCCTTCACGTTTCTCTCTCTCTTCCTCTCTCTCTCTCTCTCTCTCTCTCTCTCTCTCTCTCTCTCTCTCTCTCTCTCTCTCTCTCACTCACTCTCACTCCGTCTCCTCTTCCTCACGCACCCAACAACACCCACTCACACACACAAACACACACACACACACACACACTTACAAAGAGAGAGAGAGAGAGAGAGAGAGAGGCAAAGAAGACGAGAAGACGCTCAGAAAAAGAGAGGATGCCAAAACAGTGCAAGTCGTGCGGCAAAGCAGCTGGGCACAAGATCGGAGTGCCTCCACCATGCTCAATCGCTGCTCTTCTAGAAATTCCACTCTTGCAAATTCTAACGTCATAAACCCACGGTGCCTCTCTCATCTGTTGCCATCGGGTGCGGGTGGGAAAGGAGAGGATGTGAAGTTACTCTTAGCTGTAGCCACGATAGTTCGAGAAGCATCAACGTTACCCGTCTGCCACGCGCGGCTGGCTGGCGGGATGCCTATGCTCGACTCCGCGGGCGCTCCGGCCGCTCAGGCAGCAGCGTGGGGCTGGGAAGAGAGGCCGAGCCACGGCAAAAGTGCCGCCTTGAAATCCAAGGGGATGTCTTGTTAAATTACCAAGGGGTTTGAGTTAATTTTCCAAGTGGTCCAAGTCAAGATGTTTTCACAGAAATGGATTCGTCTCAACAAGACCAGTGCTAAAAAGGTTATTGACCATTTTACAAAGTTTGTAGATGAATAGCCTTTTCATTTTCCATCCAAACCTATGACATGTGCTGACTGTTTTTGTTTGTCTTGTCGAGACGAATCCATTTCTGTAAAAAGATCTTGAAAGAGCTCGGACACATACCATTCGACTTCTCATAAGGGTCAAAGTCAAACACCAACGAGTAAAAAAAAAATACGACCACAGGCGTCCTCGTATTATTGGCCAGCCCACCATTGCAATGGCGGATCCAGAGACGGGTTCAGGGGGGGGCGATGTCGCAAAAGTTGCCTACGAACAGGGGCTACGAGCGAATTGTTGCCTGCCTTTCAGGGGGCTTCACCGCCTGGGGGGGGGGGGCATCGCCGCCCCCTTGATCCGCGCCTGCACCATGGCGCCGCGCCCAGACTGCGATACGAGAACGCCCGTGGTCGTATTAGTAAATTTCTATTCTGGCCAGAACGAGGAAACAGAGACAGGTAGGAAACAGTCTCAAAACGAACGTGACAAAATGTCACCTTCGTTTGAGCATTGTGTCACATTCGTTTGGGTGTGAATTGGCCCATAAATCAGCTTGTTCACATTCAAACGACCGTGACACGATGCTCAAACGTACGTGACATTTTGTCACATTCGTTTGAACGCGATTGTCAAGTTCCTGGAATGAGAGTGGAGAGCGACCAAAATCTTTTTGACCTGCTAGGTCCCCCGGAAATTTTGGTTTCTGTTTCGACGTCCTGCGACCATTTTCGTTTGAGAACGCGAGTTCTCGTACCGCGCTTTGGATGAAAGGCAGTTACGAGAAACTGTGTCCTCGTATCGCGATGCTCCGCCCACGGCCGTTCTGGCGGCCGGAAAATGAAATGTGACGTCATATAGGCCAGTACATGACAAAAACACATTCAAACGAACGTGACAAACTCATATTCGGGCGAATATGACGTGATTGGAAAGCAGTGCGCTCACCTCGTCAAGGACCGGCCGTAAGACGCATGAGTCGTGACCGTCGAGCAGGTGCGCCAATCCTCGCTTCCAAGAATCCCCCTCCCCCATTCGCGGGTCTTCCACGTACTCGCGAGTATAAAGGTTCACGCGAGCGGGCGAAGCGCTACCTGCTAGCAACTGTGGTCCACCGCACTTGTCAACCGCCATAAGGTGAGGAACCGAACGCTTGAAGCTCCGCTGGAAGGCTTGTGCTTTCCACGTGTCCGCGCCATTGGAAGGCCCTTTCCATGCCTCTTTTGAAAAGCATGAGTTCTTTTCCCTGCTTTTTGAACTTGTGTTTGGAAGTACTTGAAATTGTCCGCACCCTCGAACTTTATCCTCCATCTTGCGTTACGTCATGAAGTGCAAGTTAATGTTTCGGATCCTCGCAGCCATGCTCCGCCTGTGCGTCGTCGTGATGTCCGCTCTGCTGGCGCTGCTCTGCGCCGTGGCGGCCGTGGCGGCCGTGCCTCACGGCCAAGGTGGCCCTCCAGTCGTCGGCGCCGACCCTTGCACCTGGGGGCCGGCACACTGGTGCGCCAACCACCAGAACGCCCAGGCCTGCAAGATGACGTCATGGTGCCTAGAGAAGAAGCTGCTGCACTGAGCGACACCGAGCACGCCGAGGAACGGAAGCGGAGCGTTGGCCGTCAACCGGATGCCACGAAAAACCAGTCTGCGTAATAAAGACCCAGCCGAAAATCCCGGTTACGGTCCGAGTACGGTTACGACCGGGATACGATTCCGGCCGGAATACGATTACGACCGTAATTTCGGACATTTCCGGTTACGACTACGATCGTAACCAGGAAGGGTTTACGACCGTAACTGACCATTCCGGTCGGAGTACAAAGTGTCACAAGACATCAAGTTTGTCTTCTGTGGTGCTCCGTCAAGCAGGGATCCGCGTTGTATATGCATGAACACAGGGTAAACTTTGCGAGCTACGCCCAATTTTGACTTCAGAAATTTATTATAAGTTACCGTTCACAAGTTATGGAGTGTTTCTGAAAATTCGCTGGAGACTTAAACGCATGGGACATGCTTCTTCGAGTCCGGCCTCGGACCCGGATCTGGTCCGATCGTAACCGGAATGGGTCCGGTCGTAACCGGAACGAGTCCGGTCGTAACCGGAACGAGTCCGATCGTAACCGGGACGTGACCGACCGTAACCGTAAATTAGGTCCGGTTTCCGATCGCAACCGGAAAATTTGGGGCGATTTACGATCGTAAGCGGAGATTTTCTCCGGAACCGTAACCGGGATTTTCGGCTGGGGACCGCTTTCCTCGAGCATTGATTACGTGCCTCCACTCTGTTCCCTTCAAAGTCGGGCACGGTTAAGGCCGTTGGAGCACTTGGAAAATTCACTCAAACCCGTTGGAAATATAACAAGACCTTGGATTTGAAGGCTGCACTGTGGGGAGTCCGGTTCCTCTCTCTGCGGTCTGCACTCTAAATGTTCTACAGTGAAAATTCTCTATGTTATGGTGAAAATGTTCCATATTATGGTGGTGCAGCTGACTTAGTAACATACCATTGATAATGCACAGTACCTTATAGAGATTTTGACGAATTTCGTTGGTATTATGGTGAGAATCTCCACCATAATATTTTGGCGCAGCCTTTCACCGTAAGACATTTACAGTGTCCGCACCAGAAAGAGCGAACTTCTTGGTTTGGCCGAGAGGACGCTCCGCCGCGCTCCGATTCGCAGGGCCAAGAGGAGCGGAGACGAGTCCAACAAGTGGAGGCCTCCGGACGCCGAGAAGTGGCCAAAGCCGGTCGCTAAGCGGCATTGCCGGGGACCGTGCAGGCTGATTCCAGGAGTCGCTTGCGTCGCCACGTCTCTCTCGCACTCGTGGGCACCCCTATGGGTGCGAGAGAGACGGAGCGACGGCGCTCGGAGTCAGTCTGCTGGCGGCGCGTGCCCGGCATACGGTGTGCCCTGGGCGTGGCCGCGCACCTCCAGAGGGTCCACAAGTTGGAGAAGGGCGGCCGCAGCACGCAGTGGGCCAGAAGACCGGTGGAGGCGGCCGAAATCCTGGACGCGTTTTGAGCTCCAGAGTCGCTAAATGGGACTCGAACCGAACGTGTGACCCCACCAATGGTTGCTCTCCGAACGAGAAAGCCATTGGTAGGGTCACAACGTTCGGTTCGAATTCCATTTAGCGACTCTGGAGCTCAAAACGCGTCTTGAATTTTAGCCACCCTCATCGGGCCCACTGTGCAGCAGCCCTGACCTCCGAGACTCTGGAACTCCGGGCGGGGGGGGGGGGGCACTAAGTGTCTTGGCGGTACATGGCCACGTGAAAAGGGGCGGGAATTGTAAAAACGGCGGTAAACATGGACTCCGCCAGTACAAAATTAGAGCCAGAGAAAGTGGGGGAATATCACCCACCGCCTTTCTATTCAGACTGCTTGTTTCGAAGAAATCTATGTCATCGGCCCTGCTTGGACTCTCGTGAAAAATGACAGCAGGGTTTTGACCGCAGCGACATCACGACCATTAATTACCTGATGGTTTGGTGTAAACCCACCGAGAGGCGGCGCGGCGGGGTTTCTGCGGAGCAAGGTGGTGAGACGTGGTGAGACGGCCCTCTCTGCGGCGGGGGGAAGGGACAGAGAGTGAGAGAGGAAGAGGGAGGAGAGGTGAGGAGGGAGGAGAGGGTGTTGTGGACGGTTTCTCAGACCGATCCTGCCCAGGGTTCTCTTGGCGCGCGAAAGGTATCGCAGTGGATGTTAGGTTTGGGAAAGGGAAAGCACAAGGAACAACGTAACACAGAGTAAAGTTGCTTGTCGCTATAATTCACAGTTCTCGTCGGTGGTTCAGATTAAAGACACAGTGAGAGTCGAGTCCACACTCTAAGGCTATCCTATACTAACGCTAAGCAGACCTAACCTTACAAGTTTGGCAATGTTCCTGGCAATCAGACCGTCAGCCGTACTCACTAGGGTCCTTGGTCGTGGCTCCTGGCTCCTCACTGGAGTGGTGCTGCCCGTTCCGGCGTCCGACACACACTGACTACGACCTACCCGCTCCGGCGCGACTCAGGCTCGAAGGGAGGCCGGGCTTTCTTATCAGAGTTCGAAAAGTGGCGTGAGAAGTCGCTGCAGCCCGGAGTCCTGCCGGTGGGACTCCGGTGCGAAGGGCCACCAAGACCAAGCAGTATTTATTTAGGAAATGTTTGCATTTGCGTCTGGCGAGCGAGTCGGCTCGTAATCCAGGCGGTACCAGAAATGATTAATAAACGAAAATAAACTAATATTCAAGTTCACAACAAGGGAGAGGGAGAAAAGGGTAAGGGAGGGGGGAGGAGAGGGGAAGGGAGGGGGAGGAGAAGATGGGAGGGAGGGAAGGGAAGGGGAGGTGGGAAGAGAGGAGGAGAGGGGAGGAGTGGGGACGCGAAAAGTGCCGCGGCGGAGCGCCACTTGCTTCTTCGGCGGCGGACGGGGACACAAGCCGACAACTGCCGCCGTCGGTGAATGAGGCAAACTCATCTTGCCTCATTTTGTCGTCGATTTTCTTTCGGAACCGAAAAGCGCGCGGCGTGCCGCCGAGGGAGATCACTCATCTGTATCCAGTGACAGCAGGCGTTTTTTTTTTTCGGGGGGGGGGGCGCACAGTGGGCGGAAAGACCACTTTTGACGGGAAAAAGTCGGGTTCCGCAACCCTTACGGAGATTCCAATCAATGCACTTTCCTAGCTCAAAAAAGTGTGCCGAATCCAAATCTGCCTTTGATTTTATCATGCGCCTTTTCGTTTTTCTCATAGAAGGCTTGAAAGTCACATGTATCTATTCGCTAAGAAGAAACGCAACAAAAAGCGCATAAATTCGCTGCGTTTACTGAGTCAGTTTAAGATCTAATTTTACAACCCTTATTTTTTTAGAAAGAGCAATTCACGAGGATTCCAAAACTGTCCTCGGATTGTAGTTTCGAGTACATTTGACAAAACTACGGCCGTTTGAAATTTGCATGTCACAAAACACAAAATTCCAAAGTTCCCTTGGGCGGCATAAAAAGCCTCAAGTTGCCCGGCGCTCGCTCTAGGTTCATTTGGGGCCGCAAAGAGTGCTCTTTCGGAGGGAAAAAGAATTAGCTGCCCATAGCTGCCCTTCCGAAGTTTATGGCTCGATTTGTGTGAGCGTGCGTACGAAAAAACGGGTCCCGACGCATGTCAATCGCATAGGTCGTCTCAGGGCATGCCCCTCCCGCCTCCGGCCCCCTCCCTTTCCCCTCCCCCTCCCGTTCACTCCCAGTTCCCCCCCCCCCCTGCCCTCCCCCTCCCCTTGTACAATGATTTTTCAGTGTTGTCGACTTAGGACAGCAAATATGGGTGTATTCGAAATCGGGGCGACACAACTGGACCTATGACGCGTTCGGAGTCGATCATTGCTGTAGCTTGGCCTGTAACGTGTCGTTGCCTTGTATTAGAAGTAGAAGAAGTAACGCAATAAAAACTGTTGCCACAATAGGGGGCCTACGCTGTTGATTTGGTAAACTATGCAGTAAATTCATACGATCCGTCCATAGAAAAATCGAAAAATGGCCAGATTTAGAATCAGGATGATGATGATGACCCCCTTAAACCTTGAAAAATTAAGGTCACCCACCTTGAATCACTGAATCTGCCCCTGCAAAGTTCGAAACATGGCCAGATTTAGGATCAGTGACCCTTGAAAACTGATATGGGAAGTTTTGACCCGGTATGCTCGAAAAATAAAATTTACCCCCCTTGTATCACTGGATCTGCCCCAGAAAAATTCAAGACATGGCCAGATTTGGAATCAGCGACCACCAAAACCTAGGGTACGGAGTTTAAGCGCGGATTGCTCTAAAATTAAAATCTACCCCCTTATATCTCCGGATCCGCCCCTGAAAAGTTCGAAATATGATCAGATTTAGAATCAGCGACCCCAAAAACATGAAATACGGATGAATGATGTTTTTCGGACAAGTAATTCAGTTGTAATGACTTTTTCCCGTCAAAAGTGGTCTTTCCGCCCACTGTGGGGCGTGGCGGGCATCACATGCCCCTGTAGATAGGCAAAATATACACAATTCCCCCCTCCCTGTCGAGCTTCATATAACAAAGTACAAAATTAATTTGTCTTACGTACGTATGCTCTCGTTTGTGGTCTCCAAGTACGGAGATTGCGAACTCCGCACCTCCGCATTTCAGGTGTGGAGTTCCCCACGCACAGTGGGCCAGAAGACCGGTGGAGGCGGACAAAACTATAGACGCGTTTTGAGCTCCAGAGTCGCTAAACAAGCCTCGAACTGAACGTGTGATCCCACCGAATGGATCCCTCGTTCGGGGAGCAATCTATTGGTGGGGTGACACGTTCGGTTCGAGTCTCATTTGCCGAGTCTGGATCCCAGAACGCGTCTCGAAGTTTGGCCGCTTCCACCGGCCCTCTGTGCGACGCGCCGCCCCGCCACGCCTCGCGTTGTTTTTCCGAGTAAAGCGTCCTCCCCTCGGCACTCAGTGGGCCCCGCCGCCGCGCCAAAGGGCGAGAGCCGAGCCCGGTGTACATCGTTTGTCCGTCCGACGTTTGTCCGTCCTGCCGAAATTTGTCCGCCCTCCCCTTCGCTTAAATTTTTGTCCGCCCGACGTTTGTCCGCCCGACGTTTGTCCGCCCGACGTTTGTCCGCCCGACGTTTGTCCGATCTCATTTCAGGAAAGAAGGAGGGGGAGAGTATAAATATTCCACGACGTCAGTGACAGATTAGTCGTCGGGATGGACGAAGGGGAGGCGGCCACGCTGGGTTGCCTACCTCCGAGGCGGGCGGGTCCGGAAAGGAGCCTGTCCGTGTCACTCCCACCAAAGTAGGGGTGGGAGCGTCTTTGATGCCCCCTGGCAGCCGATGGGGCCGGCATTTGGGTCGGCCACCAGAACTTCCAGGTTCCCGCTGGAGGTCCTTGGCGTGGTCCTCAGGCCGAGCGAGCTTGGTGCTGTAGTGCAGGGCGACCAGGCTCAGCGCCAACAGCAGGCCGCCGAAGCAGACGCAGGCTATGAGTCAGCGAGCGCGGTACTGCCCTGCCCGGCGCGGGTCGTTGACGGCCACGTCACTGACATCCCCACGTCCCAAAAGGGCCCGCCATCAGAGGTGCCCACGGGACCCTAAAAGGTCTTGGCGGCCTGGCCCGAGTCCCGGGGACCCTCTACCGGGTGCCCAGAGGCGAGGTGACCAGGACGAACATCATAAGTGGTGGACACCGCACCGCGGCGCACTTGCGCCATCCTTGGTAGTACTCTACTTTGGGTACGACGAGAGTGGGCACTCGTG